TTGAGCACGGTGCTCCGGACTCACAGCAGTTATCTCATTTCATTCTTATAACATCCCTGAGCTGGGTACTATTACCACTTTATGGAAGAGGAAATTGAGCATCTTTTAACTCGCTTGCTCAAGTTCACACAGTGTGTAGCCAGATCTGCGTGGCTCCAGTGCCCTCTCCCCAACACCGCACTGGGAGTCAGGAGGCTTGGGTCCCACTCCCAGATTGGCCACTGATCAACCTTCATCACTGAGCCTCAGTTATTTTTTAAATAGCAGGGGTCTAGGTTAGAGAATGATCTCTATGGTTCCTTTAAGGGCCACTTCTCTGGGAAGGTGAGTCTGGTTACATCAGACAGCATTCCAGGTAGGAGGGGTATGTCTGAGTCAGGCAGGATCCATCCCCATCTGACTGCACAGCATCAACCAACAGAGGTCCAGAGGCGCCAAAGATGAGTCCAGGTCTCGAAAGTACTAGTCCTTGTCTGCTCCCACTCCCTAGGGAACAAGCAGGGATGCTGCTCCAGATACACTGGGTTGATGAGGAAACTCTAGGGTGATGAAAGAGTGCGAGAGGTGCCGGAGGAAACAAGGGCAGATCTGAATCATTCAGAAGAGAAGGCAAGAAGGCCAGTCTTCAAGTCTCCAGTGAGTATGGGGGCTGTGTGGCCTGGTGGAGAGAACATATAAGGTCAAGAGTCAGGGTATCTGGGACCTGGGTCCTAGTCCTGGCTCTGCCACTAACAAGCAGTATGATTTTTGTTTAACAAGATACTTCACCTCTCCAATCTTCAGCTTCTACAACTAAACAATTAGGGAAATCACTTTAAAAAAGCATCCCACCAATTTATACAAAGAAATATGTAATATTACAGCTAAAAACAGTAAGAAATGGCTCAGATAGTCTGGCAATGGGGAGCCCTACTAAGCAGACCCCGAGGGGTGGGTATGGGTGCTGATGCAACAGAACATTAAGTGTCATCCGGAATGTTGAATAACTAACATTTATTGAGCACTAACTATGTGCCAGGCACTGGGCAGAAGTCTTGACATGGATAGTCTCATTTCATATCCTCGAGCATCTGCTGAGGTCGGTATTATAGCCATTTTTTCAGATGTTAGCTGAGGCCCTGAGAAGTTAAGTCGCCCAACTAGTTAATAAATGATGACATCAGGACTCAAATCCAGAGATCCACCTGACTCTGAAGGTGATGCCCTAACCTTTACACCCTCCTGCCTCAGACGGTTGGATGTGAGGACCACACACAAATAGAGAAATGCATATACGAAACAGTGTTAAGTGGGGAAAAACCTTCAAGAGTGGTTATGTTGATAGAATGTTGGCACTAACCTTACGCTTGGACATTTAAAAATAATAGGTAATTTAGGATGTTGGGAACTTACTTGGGGCTGCTAAAGTTTAATCTGCTCGATTTTTGGTGGCAGAGATGATGAAACATAATACCTAAGTGAGGAGGTGAGTACAGATGATGGGCCTTTCTAGTTCTCATACTTACTTTTCTGGGTGAGCAGAGAAGGAAAGTATAGTTACACTTCCATCACTGAGAAGAACCAGTTACAATGTCCTGAGCATGCTATGCCCTATTTACTTGCCCTGCTATTTATTTCAGTGGCGTTACATGTTATTTCCTCTGACTGAAATTCCTTTCTTCTCCCTTGTCCATCTGGAAAATTCCATTTGTCTTCAATACCATGGTAACCATGTTCTTGTAGGGTACCTCCCACAATGAATAGGCCTGACCTGTGTATTAATAGGATATTGTGGAAATGATAGAATATGACTTCCCAAGTTGGGTCATAAAAGAGGTTGCAGCTTCCATTTTACTCTCTTGGATCACTTGCTTTTGGATCACTTTGTGTGTGTTTTTGTTTTTTTTTAAATATATCTTTATTAATTTCAGAGAGAGGAAGGGAGAGGGAGAGTTGAAACATCAATGATGAGAAAGTCATCATCAATTGGCTGCCTCCTGCACGCCCCCAACTGGGGATCAAGCCCACAACCCGGGCATGTGCCCTGACTGGGAATCGAACTGTGATCTCCTGGATCCTAGGTCGATGCTCAACCGCTGAGCCACACCCAGCCAGGCTGGCTGCCATGTCTTGAGCAGCAGCCCCATGGAGAGCTCTGCATGTTGAGAAACTGAGGCCTCCTGCCAACAGCCATGTGAATGAGCCGTCTGGGAAGTGGATCCTCCAGTCCTAATCAAGCTTTCAAATGACAGTAATCACAGATGACAAATGACGTCTTGACTGCAACCTCATGAGGGGCCTTAAGCCAAATCGTGCAATTGAGCTACTCTTGGATTCCTGAGCCACAGAAAGTGTGAGATGTTTGTTGCTCTAAGCTGCTAAATTTTGGGATAATTTATTATGCAGCAATAGATAACTAATACAAACACCAAGCTCAAGTATGTGATACCCCGTGAAGCCTTTTTACTCTGCTGAAGTTGAACCCCGCCTGTGCCACTCTGAGCCTCATGCCTGACCACACAACACCTGCTGACTTGCCTTTCTTGCTCTCTAGATTCAGCCCCATGAGGACTGTGCCAGCCATAGCACACAGTACTTCAATAAGTGCTTGTAGAACAAATGAACACACATGAGAACAACCATCGCAGTAGGTTCTCGTGGGCTTTCTAGCCAGGCTTCTTCCCTGCACAAAACTCCAAGGCCTGATTGCTGGGAATCATGGATGTCACAGTGAGTGGGTCCTGAGTTTTTCTTTGTAATCCAATAAAACTCTGGTGCCATGGATGTACCTAAAACATTAGGCTGGAAGTCAGAAGACCTGACTTTTGATTCAAGTTTGCCAGCTACTTGTTGAAGTTCTCTGAGCTCTGGTTTCCTCATGGACCAAATTATTTAAGAGGTCTTCCAAGTCTAAAATGTAATGATTCTATCATTTTCAGCCAGCAAATACTCTTGTTTCATAAAAGAGAAAATAGGCTAATAGTTTTAAATCAGCAAAGGTTCTCATATTTGGCTGCACTGTAAGGAATACCTCTGGAGCTTCTCTCTCACACACACACATACACATCCCTTGGCTCTACCCTATACCTTGAATCAGAATTTCTGGATCTCTGGAGACATGGCCAGGACATGTTTTTTGGTTTTTGGTGGGTTTTTCTTTTAGAGAGAGGGGTGGAGAAAAGAGGGAGGGAGGGAAGGA